GGAGTCATCACGAAAATATGCAGGCCAACTTTCGAGTACAGTCCGCAGTTAGGGCAGTCAAATGGGTCCATCACTGATGGGCCAGCGGCGTGTGACAGGCGCCCATCAACAGCGGGCCAGCGGACTCGGCCGAGCTGTCAAAAATTCGGCCTTGGCAATGACTGGGCCGAGACTCTAAAATAGGCCATGCGAGATGGGTGGGCCGCGAGTACAGAGCCCCATAGAGGACGGATCGGCCGACTTTACCCCTGGCGCCCATGGGTTGCGCCCAATTGCGCGGATCCCATTGTTGCGCCCATTCGTCTTTGATGCAGTTAACCAGAGTGCTGCCTCGTTAGTTTCACTGTGGGGGACCACGTAGGAGAAAGTTAAATAGATATATTATTTACCTGTTGTGGGTTGCGCCCAATTGCGCGGATCCCATTGTTGCGCCCATTGGTCTTTGATGCAGTTAACCAGAGTGCTGCCTCGTTAGTATCACTGTGGGGGACCATGTAGGAGAAAGTTAAATATTTACCTGTTGTACATCTGGCGCCCATGGGTTGCGCCCAATTGCGTGGATCCCATTGTTGCGCCCATTTGTCTTTGATGCAGTTAACCAGAGTGCTGCCTCGTTAGTATAACTGTGGGGGACCACGTAGGAGAAAGTTAAATAGATATACTATTTACCTGTTGTACATCTGTGTTGGCGGCAGCCTCGTTGCGCCTGCAGGCAACCACATTTTTCTTCGCCAACCAGCCAATATTCCCCACCCATTTTCCCCAGTCTTGCTGCGATGCTGCAAGACTTGAGTAGTTTCAAGCTCACTCAAGAAATAGCTGACTTTCTCAAAGCTAAATTCCAGGCTACCCTCCATGGAACAGCACAAAAAACACCCTTTCCCCTGCACTGGACACTGGACCTGTTGGATGACTGCAATGGGATAGTTGTTGTTTTGGTTGAGGCTTTCAAACACCCAAGTGCGCCACGCCTGCTCACATAGTAATTGGTTGATTGATCTCTTCAAGTCCGCACAACATGGGATGCCACGAGGTATTGCGATACCATCGGCGCCGCCCTGACCGGACAAAATCGTAAAACAGAAGAGAAAATCTTGAATAGGTACCCGCCCATCTATTCACCTATTGTCCATAAAAGTTTGCCTTTTGTGGTAACGGATATGCATAACAATGGGCTGGTTTGGTATTTGCCTGACATCCTTTCAGGAGCACGCTAGGTATGTGACTATGGCCGCTGGGTGTACAATCTCAAACCCTGTTCAGTTGCAGATCTGGAAGTTCCTCAAAATTCTTGAATCAGCTTTGACGATAGACGACAAGGCTACTACTAACTGGAGGAATCATAAAATGCACTACAGGCCTGCAGAGCAATGTCAACAACTCAAGCCCGGGACCGTGAGTTTATCGCCAGCATGGTTCCAGCAAGGGCACAAAGTGTGAAATCTCTTTGGATCCATAAACAAAGTCTGAACGATCTGCAGTCTTCCAAGTTCAAGCTTGAAGTCAGCGTGCAAATGAAGCGTGGCGCC